AAGTCAGCCCTCACTAACTCCAAACCTTGACTTGCTCACTCTGCTTAGGCTCCATGCAGAGATAGCAGAAATAAAAGAACAAATTAAGGATTGATTAAAGTGAAAAACAACAACAACAACAACAAGGACAATAATGATAATAATAAATGATAATAATAAAGAATGAAAGGTAAAAGAGATAAAAGTTTAAAAAGATAAAAGTATATCATTTTAAGGTCAATTATAATTTTAATCATGAATTTCTCCTCTATGGTTAAAATTTAAACACTCTCTATCTAGACAGGTTCTATGTATTGCCATTTACAGGTTTAACATTCTATACTCAATACTAAAATTACTAATTTATCTTATGTTGAGAGGAATGATTCATTGGGACACAAGCCTTTCTAAAGACATAATTAACTGATAAAGAATACTTTTTGAGATTGTGGTGGGAGGGGAATAGCCACTATTTGCTTTAAAATGTAAGCTTAACTATGAAAATATGGTCTTGGAAAAGATTTATCTTTTATATTCCCAAACCAATACTTCCAATTTTATTCCATTTTGATTTTGATCCTTAGTTGTTAATAATGGCTAAATCTTCTAGTAGTAGCTTACACTCTGTTTTAGGAAGATGACTCTTTCAACCATTTTGAATATTTTAAATTAAAGTTAAAATGTTTTCAAAGTGCATGCACTGCTCCACAGCTTTAGGCCAATATCCATCAACTGCTCTGCTCTTTCGGTTGAGTGCGAGTCTCACCCATGACAGCTTTCTGTAAATTAGAGATAAAGCCCCGCTCTGCCTTTGCAACGTTCTCCTGCATCTTGCAAACTTCTGCATCTTTCCTTTTCCAGGGCCAAAGGGAAGGAAATTTGTGTTATATTTACTCCTTTTTTCTCTCTCATCAATTATTTGCCTTATATTTATTTATATAAAGTTTTCTTCTTATTGGCAATCAGATTAAAGTCACAAATTGTGCTCATATGCACACTGCCTTCCATTAAAAGAACAAGTGTCCTTTTTAAGACACATGGTTTTTAAAACCACTTTTAAACATAACAAGAGTTAGAAACTGAGATATACATTGACCTTACTATGTGGCCTTTGTCCTAACTGTGAAGCTATCAAAATATCACATCTTGCCTCTTCCATTACCGTACACCAACTTACTCTTTGTTATAAAAATACTCTGCAGTAATTCAAGGTTACAATTGCCCTTGCATTTCTAATACTTGTTACTGTAACAAAACCTAAAAATGTAATTTCTGTGACTTAAGTTCAGTTTGTGTCTTTTCCTTTGTTAAGTAGGAGATATTCTAGTTACTAAGTTTAGGAATATACTTTTCACGCTAACAGTTTAAAAATATAACAAATAACTTTTATTCAGTGATACAGTGATGACTTTTTATTGCATTCTATGTAGAACTTTGCATGCCTGTGGTTTTTATGTTTCTGTTTACTATATTTTTATTTATTTTGGTTTCTTTTGGTTTTCATATTAAAGGAGCAGTTTCCAAGTGCTGTTATTGACTCTTGCTATTTTTGTCAAGGTACATTAACAAAAATCGGTCTTTATTCAGGGAGGACTTTGACACTTCGGCCTAAATGAATGATTGCTGAATCACAAAAGTGAACCAGGTGCTGCTTGAAACATAGGAAGAACCCAAATTCTCCTTCCCATGACCTCTGGACTCCACATATTTATCCCTTAAACCCTGTTGTAGGATTTATATGTGCACATATCATGTCCCCACTCAGCATCATCCATGAGTTATGAGCAAACACTCTCCAGTCACCCCTTCCCATCATTGGAGCAGGTGATGAACCAGGCCGGCCCACCTCCATTGCCCACCAGACTCCGCAGAGCAGGCTCAGATTGCTCCTGGCAGCCTGATGCCCAGCCTGCCTGGCTATGATATCCTTTCCTTTATACCTAGTTTCTCAGGTGTTTCTCATTTGTTTGGGTAGTAATACCTACCAGAAGTATTTTTTAAAGTGCACTTTCACCACACACTGTATCAAATGCTTTACAAAAGTGCATGTATTCCATCTACTATATCCTTTTATCTATGCTAAAGCATAGCCATCCCCTTCTGCCAGCTGCTTCTTCTAGATTCCTCTCATTAGTCTGCAATTCCCCAAAGCTGTGGCAGGCTGCCCCCACCCCCACTCTATCCTCAACTCTCTCCTTTTTACACTACCTCCCTGCGAGGGAAGCCCACTGATATGCGGGACAGTTCCCAATTAAAAAACCTAATGATACCCTCTTCAGCTGCACAGTTTTAAATCTTCACTACCACAGGTTGACCTGGACACCTCACTTTTCTTCTAAAGAAACATTCTTCCATTCATTAATTAAGAATATGGGGATCCTGGCTGAAATAAATATCACAACCCTTATCTTGCAAGAAGCCCACAATGACTTACAAAATATCACCCTCTATGCCTTTAATTTAATGTTGTAAAAACTTAGAATTGTGAGTATGGGGGCAAAGGAAATACTAATTTGGGAAAGTGGCTCTAGAAAATAATTCATGCTGAGGAGAATATCATCTTGAATGCCATTCACATAAACAAAGGAAGGAAAAGTGGTTTAACAGAGTAACATAGATTGTATTCACACAATTCTAAATGTCTGTAAAGAGCAAAACTTTAGTTATTCATCCACATGTTTCTAGATAGCCAGATATTTGATATTAGGTAGAAATTTGATATAGGGTAGGTATTGTGAACAGTGACAGCTATAGTTGTCCTAGACTTTCTAAGCATTTATGAAAAATAAACACAATAAAATGGATTTTAAAAAGGAAGATGAAAAATACCAAATTCAATATGACCACATCTCAGTACCCGTTCTGTTGTCCCTGGAGGGTCTGTGAAAGCAGACACTGCTTCGCAGGCGAGTTAAAGCAGTGTGTCCAGAATACCATCCAACATCAGAGGATGCACGGCTTCAGTTCCAACAACCTTGACAGATGTGCACATCTCCGTTATAGAACTAGGGCCAGAACTAGGGCCACGTATGACCAGATGCCCTTGCCCTCGGGTACTCCTGCTTTATAAATGCAAATACCAGTTTAATTAAATGATGGGCTCGAATGGGCTTCCCAGACAGAAACAAGTCTCCATTGAAAGTTGATTTGAAAACATTGAGAAGAGAACACATCTACTTAATTTAAGAAGTATTTAGAAGGTCATGTTGTCAGAAAAATCAGTGACCTGCTGTGAGTCTTTTTCTAATTTAAGCTTTGATGGATTATCCATGTACAGGCAGTATGCACTTATAAACCAAAGCACAGATAGGTTTGATATGATACAGTGGTTTTAAATTGTATTTTAATTTGCAGCTATTTGAACCACTTCCATTTTTTGCAGATATTGAAAATTGGAAATGAGTCAAGCAGCAGCATGTTCCAACATACTGCTCCAAGTAACAGCATATCTCTTCACCATGTACAGTAAGAGTCTGAAAATTAATAACCAAGTAAGAGACACTCAGCTCAAAAAATCCCAAAATAAGAGATTAGCATACATTTTATTAAAACCTGACTGTTGTGGGGAAAATTACTAAATCAATTGATTCCAGAAGTCCTGGCAGCGAGAACTGCTAACTAGCTGACATTGGTTGGATCCATGTCTTCTCTAAGCCTCAGCTGACACATCTCTTAGATGGGAAACATACCAGTCATTTGTAATAACGTTAATTAACATGAGAATCAAATGTAATAACAGAGTTCCTAAATGGAAGAGATCTCTACAATGCCTTATCTTATTATTACATTTGTAACTACTATTGTTGGCTAGTGCAATGTGGTTTCATTAAAATAATTATTTACATAAATATTTTCACATACATTTCTCAGCTCTGTCTTTTACTTTACCAAATCATTAATTCATTTATCAAACTCTGAATTCGTCACATACAATGCCAACTATGGTAACTTTCCTCATGGACCTTACATCTGACTGGAAACCTTGACATAAATATTTGTTAAAATGTTGTAAATAAAAATGGAGGCATGCAATAGGTATGTTTATGCACAAATAGAGAATATTCAACTAACTCTCCAGAGAAGTGAAGATTTTCTTCATTGAGAATGTGATAGTTAATATTTATTATATGCCAATTTGGCTGGGCTACAGAGTTCTAGATAGTTGATCAAACATTATTTGGGGTGTTTCTGAATTAGATCACTATTTATATCTGTGAATTTGAGCAAAGCAGACTGCCCTTCCCATTGTGGGTGGGACTCATCCAGTCAGTAGAGAAGTCCTGACTGGAACGAAAAGATGAACCCTTCCTTGAGTAAGAGAGAATTCTCCAGTTGACTGCCTTTGGCTTTCATCTGCATCATTAACACTCTCTGAATAATGATCTTCAAACTGAAACATCAGCTCTCCCCCAGACTCCTGTATCACTGGCCTACTCTGCAGATTTTGGACTTAGAAGCCTCCTGTATAATTAATTGCATGAGCCAATTCTTTATACCAAATCACATATGTGTGTGTGTATTATATATGAATCCATGTATTTATGAATATACATAATTGTAATTGGTTCTCTTTTGCTTGAGAATTCTGGCTAATACAGAGTGTGGCACTCGTGCTGAATATTAAAGTATGTGTGGGAGTTTGAAAAGTAGATGAAGATGTAAAGGACTCTATAAGTAGAGAAAGCAGATTGGGATAAACTAGAACTGGATTGAACAGACACTCCAAGAAGTTCCCTTTGGGCTATCAAGAGTGGGGGTTAAGATGGGTGGAAGAAAGGATAGAGGCAAGAGATGAGTTTAAGGGTTAGATTATGGAAATGCCTTGTGTGCTGTATAAAAGCTTTTGGACGTTACCCTATAGGAAATTAGAAGCCATTTGAAGGATTTAAACAGGGAAATAAGATGATTAAATTTGCATTTTAAAAGATTACTCCAGCTGCAATGTCAGGTATGGATTAGAGAGGGTCAAGGCTGCTGGCAGGGAGATTACTGAACTAGTATAAACCAGGATAATGAAGTCCTGCAGCAAGTCAGCAGTGGTGGAAATGGAAACGAGGTGGATATAAAGGATACATAAGAGATAAAATCAACAGAATGCAGTAAGTGTGTTGGCACAGGGAAAGGGGCGTTAGATAGACTAAGCAGAGTGTTCAGCATCCAGGCTTGTGCCTCTGGATGGAATTGATAGTGTTATGCAGATGGCAGAGGAGGCTTGGGAACATGAAAATTAGTTATATTTTGGGCATGTATTGTTTTTGACACATGTTGCTAACTCCAGAAAAGGATGTCTAACGGACAATGAGATACAGGGATCAAGAGAGAAATTAGTAGTCAGGGCTATAGTTACAAAGGTTGGGCTATTTTGGAAGCTAGATATAGAAATTACTGTTATCAATGAGACCATTCAAAAAATCTGCAAAAAGTAATAAAAGGAAGATAACAGAGACAGAACCCTCAATGGCTCACATAAAATGGATCCCCTGTTTGCTGGTTAATGATATCTGTGGAGTTAGGATTAGAGCAAATGGCACTTTCTAAGATGTTCCTTGAAAGATAACATAAGTAAATGTAAACACTAGTTATGATTTATACTACATAAACATGTGGTTTTATACTGCTTTGACACACTTATATTTGTTTTTCAAACTTATCATTAATTACATCTATAGAATCAGTGTTTTGGTGAGATGGTAACACTTTAGAAATCTAAGACAAAGAGAACTGGCATTGATTTAAGATTGATGACTTAAAACCTACCTGGTATCTTAATACAGAATTATAAAAGACAAAAACATATAGTTACTCATATTCTGCTTGCTCACTAGAAAATAAAATAACTTTAGAAACAAACCAATGTTAAATGGAGTGACATTAAGACCATTTCCTTTAATAATGGTCTATAGTTCTATGGTTTGTATTCTAATGTTCTTAAATGCAGGGTTCCTCAGTGCTGCATTATTTTATCCTATGGGAGCAACAACTGGGGCATTTTAAGAGGAGAAGAAGGGAGGAAGAGAGGAAAGGGTAGGGGAGAATGAGAGGAGGAAGAAAGAGGGGAGGGGAGGATAAAGGAGAAGCAGCAGGAGAAACAAGAGGCTGTAGGTGGCCCATAAAACCATATGCAAATTATATATATATGTATAAAATTATATACATATGTAAATATATAAAATTAGTTATATTTTGGGCATGCATTGTTTTTGACACATGTTGCTAACTCCAGAAAATGATGTCTAAGAGGCAGTTAGAAAACATATGTGTGTGTGTGTGTGTGTGTGTGTGCGCACACACAATCTCTAGAGAAAAAGATTGCTGACACCTGCATGGAGACTATAAGTGCAAATGATACAAACTCTGAGAGCAAAAAATCAAATTAGCATAATCCCCAAACAATAAAACAGCTGACCACCCCTCAAAAAAACCCTTTACCTAAAGTGACATGAATTTCTAATTAGTATGTTTTTTCTTTTTTGCTCACAACATCTCCTTTGGAAAAGGAGCCCATTGGGGAGCACTGATTTCCACCTTAAGCAGAAGCTCCGAATGCTAAGACCATCTAAGACCCTCATAGTGAAACAGGCACTACATGCCCCCATTTGTCATAAGTGTATCGCTGGCCTCTGAAAGGGCCTCAGCTCCTACGTGAAGCCTCTGCTATGAAAACACAATGCTGGTTTATGGTTAATACATCACTATCCAAAATTCCAGGACACCCAACATACCAAATACATGTTTTTTAAAAATCAACATATTTTGTACTTTTAATTTGGGGGGAATTTGAAGGAAAATGAATTGTGATTTTTTTCTGATGGAAAGACAAACGTTCTTTGAAATGAGAGCCTAGGATTTTTTTTTGCTTATTTATAAAAGCTGATTGTTGTTTCTTTTAATAGTTTCTTACTTTCACATAGCTCTGTTTTACTTCATCTATTTCTCTGAACAATTTCTCACCTGCTCCTTTTGTTTTCTCCTCCTGAGGGAGGCGTGTGGGTACCGACAGCTACAGAGCACGAGATGCTGACATGCGGGAGCACCAGCACGCCCTGCCCCACTCCACACATTCCTCCTGTTGGCATGCCTTTTGTTTCCTTCCTACCCGACCCAAGGGATCCATTTGGGGGTTGTTTTATTCTTTTGTGCAAAAAGCATTTATTCTGCTCTTCTGAGAACTGCCTATTTCTGTGAGTAGTATCTTTAAAATATTTTCTGGAGTTTTGAACAAAATAAAGGTGTTAATTACTTTGAGAAATATTTAAAATATTTCTCAATATTTAAGTTGTAACAGAGCAGAAAAGATGAAAATGTCACTGCTCCAAATGGTTGCATTCATTCAAAGAAAAACCAAGTGTCCAAAGAGATTCAGTATCCCACTAAACTGACCAAAACTATAATCAGAAGTTGTTGCTATTGATTTATAACATGTCCCAGGGATGTAACATACAGTATGGTGACTGTAGTTAACAATACTCATTTCATATTTGAGAGTTAAGAGAATAGAGCTTAGAAGTTCTACAAAAACAAACAAACAAACAAAAAACACAACTTGTAACTGTGGTGATGGCTGTTAACTAAATTTATTTTGATAATTTTGTCATATATATTAAATCATTATAGTGTACATCTAAAACTAATACAACATTATATATAAAGTGTATTACAATAAAGAAATCCCAAACAAAGTACATTGCTGGATTCATAAACTATCATATATAAATACAGAAAATGAAATACTGCCTATTTCCCTGATTTCTAATCCTTTTACACTCAAGAAAAATTGGGTTAGCAAGTATTCTTCTGCTTACTTATGATTTTTCTATTAAAGTTCATCTTATAATGTGAAGACATCCAGGACCTAGGGAGACCCACTTGTGCTGCAGTGGCTAGTACAAGGAAAAGACGAGGGAGCGATAATTTTATTTTTCTTAGCCTAATAGGCTACTAACCCAATTTGTTGATGCAGTTTTGTAAGGTATACAAGTCACAGGGATTACAAGTCACAGGCCACTTGAACAGGGAAATGAAATCAATCACTGAAACCTCAGTCAGGAGAAATGACCTTCAGCTAATGTCCCTTTTGAAAAAGAAAAATTTTAAACGTCTAGAGAATTGTAAGCTTGGTGGAGCCGGCACTGCTGTGCTTTTCGAACCCCCAGTGAAGCCTGTGAATGTTACTCAATCCCACTAGAGTGAGGTGGATCGTCTTACTGTTTCCACAGCTGCCAGGGTATTAAATTCTGACTGCATCCAATGCTGTGATCATCGTACTGTGTCTAACTACAAGTCAAGTGTTGGAGAGAGGGCTGGCAGAGGTCTCCTCCTTTCTGGAAGCTGTTGGGCTCTGATACGCACAAGTCCTCCTGCTCCCTCCACTGATCTGTCCATCACACAAAAGGGCTCCTGAATGCCCACCACTCACCTCTGCTGACTTTCCAAGATGCAGTTCATGTGATTTCCTGTTAGTGCCATTTTTTAAAAAAGGGTCATTAATCCTGTCATCTTAAAAATCAAAGGTTTACTTATTGACAGAAAAAGGAAGCTTTCTTGGAGGATGGCTTTCACCACTGCCTTAAACCTTGAATAGATATTAACTAGCAAAAGACAGGGAAATGAAGATCGATGGCTTACACCTGTTCCCTACCATGCACTGTCCCTTGGCCATAATTTCAGGTACTGTCACTTTAGAATACTAGATTATGTCATATATTTTGATTCCCAGGGAAGGTTAATATATACCAATCACTTACAAAAAATAATACCCTAGATAATACATTTTTTCAAAATATGCCATTAATTTAAAACTAATGATTTTATACATTTTAAAAAATTGCCATAATTGGTGGTAAATTGTTGTGGAAGTTCACGTGTAGTGTTTCTAAAACAGTCCTATTGTGTCCATGTGGAAATGGTGTTGTTATTAGCTTAAAGAATCTATAAAACACTTTTTAAAATGAACTTTTTCTATTGTTTATAAATTAATCTCTTTCAAAATATTGACAGTATTTCTTCAAATAAAACACATACATATATTTTTACACAAATGTACATGTAACATTTTTCATTTACTATCTCATTTTTCACAAAAGTACATCCTCCCTAATTTTCATTTCCCAAGAGCTTGGGAATGAAAAACTTTGATATGAATCTGTGCAAATTATTAAAATGCTTTTGATTTCTTCCTCAGTAGAAACTGATTGTGTAGACTCTAAAAGTACAATTAAGAAACATTTATGAGGAATACATTCTGAAGGAAGAAATACATAAAAATAAAGAGAGTAATCATTATTATCATTCTTTCAAAGTTCCAAATCTTCCTAAGGAATAAAACCTACCAGATAAAACTTTCGACTTTCTAATAATTAGCTCGTGATATCACAGTTGCAAAGTACAGAAAGATAAACTTCACAAAATAAAACAACCTAAGGTAGTATCAGAGTTAGCAAAGACATATTTAAAATACAAATTATGTTGAATTCTTGAGCAACCAATTATTGTAACATTCAGGGCAGGGGGTGGGGAAACAGAGATTTCAGTCGGCATTAGATGTTGCGTTGCGCTTTGTGTTGTGTAATTTGATGCCATGTTTTTTGTTTTTTTGCAGTAATTTCCCTAATTTCACACACCCGTTCCATGTCACAAATTGAAATCAATGGTTCCTTTCTAAAGAAAATAGAAAAAAGGGAGTGCATGATGATGATGATGCTTGCTGGAAAAGCACACAGACAATTCCTGATTGGAGCAGTAGTCAGCATGTATGAGTCTCTGGTTTGTAGCTAGACTCAAATTTACAGAGTTGAAAGTGCCTTGTCTTAGAAAATGTATATTCAAAGAACTCAGAGGGGATCAGGAAGGGATTATGTACAATTGAATTTCAAATGTCAGATAAAAGATAGCATATGGCCATTTAGATGTTCCTTACTAGCAATTTAAAATAATGATAATAAGCCAATGAACATTTTGAGTGTTTTTGGTGTGCCAGGCAATGTGTTAAGAATATTATGTGAATTACTTATTTTATTTCTCATAACAATATGGCAATAATATTCCTATCATTCTTATTTCACGTAAAGGAAAATCAGTTCTCAGGTTAAGAAATTTTCTT